TAAGTTGTGTAAAGTTCATACTGAGATATGAATAAAACCATTGCACATTAATTTGATGAGATATCATATAACCAAAATGAAATAATTTATATCCATGACATAATTTCTTCAAGGTGTACCGGTAGGGTTTGGTAATTAATCATTAAATATGGTAGAAGTAATCACAAACAAAGTACTTTTTTTGGTGAGAGTGATTAATTTTGACATAACTCTAATGACAATGTATGGTTGTGTTGGTTTTGCAACTCAAAACCAACTTATTTCAGTTCTGCAAATAGAATTGGATGGCAGACACAGTAGGACTACCAAATAATAACATCATCTGACAACCTCTTCGCTGAAACCCACAAGGTTCTAGAAGTTTCAGGAAGCCAGCTAGGACATGGAGGCATACGATTACAGAAAAAATCCAAAAGGCCAATAATACCTGGAACAACGTAACTGTTAATGCTCATAACTAAGTTAGATTTAAGTTAACTGTTATGGCTCTATGCTCCACTTAGGAGTCAAAAATTTAAGTAGTTAGATTTGAAACAATTCAAATAATTTATATTCGAAATAATTTATGTAGTCTCGGAAAAAGGCTTTGAAATGATTTTTCATTGGTAATACAATTACTTTAATTTTTAAGAGATGAAGGGTATTAATATATATACGATTTATGAGCTTCTTGTAAAAAAATTAATAACCCAAGCTTGAGTATTGTTAAGTAGAATTAAATATATATCTTATGATATATGATGATATATCTTAATTTAACTTTAAATAAAAAATTACAAATCAAAACAACTAATAATTGCACCAAAGATTGCATATAAATGTAAATCCTTATTTAAATATGCTACGAAGAAGTACAGCTTTAAAAAGTACTGATAGATAATATCAAGACAAATTTAGATGCATTATAAACAATAAGAAAATAAGTAAAAATTTGTGTTTATTTATAAGTATTATTTTAAAGCACTAAGTACTATTCCGTTAGTACAGTTCAGGTTATGGATCAGTTGTTTGAAGTCGAGTACAACTCTTGGTTTTAAATGCTAAGAGAGACATGATTTTGCTTCGCTAGCAGCTAACGTGGTCTTACTGAATAATTAGCCAATAGAAGTAAAACTCAAACATTTGTGGTTCATAAATTAGTAAATGTGCTTTTGTTCCACATATTAAAAATTTTACAATCTTTTATGAAATTAAAATTACCGATATTAAGGAAGTTCTGAAGAGATCTTTATATACCATTTATTATGATAAATAATATTATAATTGTCGGATATTCTCGGCATTGTCGGATGGTACTATGTTTGGTTTATGTGTTTGGTAGTCGCATCATAACTTTTCGTAAGGTCTCTCAATTTTTGCCGGGATATAAATAAAGTATATCGTCCACAAGTACAATGATTGGAGATCACGACTTTACTATTGATGAAAGATTGATTTGATATGCTTTAATTAATTTGTTGATAGTATAAACAACTAATAATTAATACTTTGAATAGAGAATGACAGTTTCTATTGAGCAATACCCTTATAACTGTATACAGTAACACCTCCTTTAATAATAGGCTTGGGTTTGCTCAAAAACCTAAGTGAATCAAAGTTATATTGGTTAAAGACTTAATACTTTTCTGAGCTTAACAATGTGATTGCACCCAATAAGATACATTCAAAGATAAAATTCTAATAAATTTCATTCAATCACAACTAAATTAATATTGTGCATATTTGTTTAAGAAATATATAATTGAATATATATGAGTGAAAAATATTTTATTAAATTATAGAATGTTTTTAAAATATTTTAGGCATGAATATAACAGAAATCCAGAAATAGAATCATCACAAATTTATTGAATTAAAAAAAAATTTTGTGTGACAACCTCAACTTTAATTAAATTTTTTAATCTATTGTGTAGGCTTTGACATCATTCACTTAAAATGACTACAACAATTAAATTCATTTCGTTTACTATTTTTTCTTGGCATTAATCGTACAAAGTAATTAAATTTAATTCCAATGAATTTCACTTACACACCATGCCCCAAAAGTATTTGTATCTTGTATCTACTATACGCACACCCAAGTGTTGGGAGCTTTGCATTTACACTCGCGAAACGCTAACAGTTTGCTAAATTGATTAAAAGTTTTTTAATGAAATACAAAAAATGTAAATAAAACTTTTGACTAATCAAATTAAAAACTTAAAAAGTGCACCACAATAAACTTAAATTGGAAAAATGAAATGAACAAAAAAAAAATTCATTAAACATGCAGAAAAACTGTGGCTAGGAAAAAAGTAGGTTTCTCATTTTGTAAAAATTCACTCAAGTGCAAATATTTCTGCATTATGCGCTTTAGGTGCCAGTAAAAAAAACAGTAAGAAAAAAAACTTCAAAATATTTCATGAAACTGGTAACGGAGCACTTCAAAATGCTTCAAATAACTGAGCTGAGTCGAAAGTTCTGAGAAGATAACGCATAAGATACGAGTACGTGTGAGATATGAAGAGCCATTTAGGAACGCTTTAAATGAAGTTCATTAAGTTGAGTTCATTAGTAGTGACTAACTAGGCTTGATATGGAGTAATATGGATTAATTTTATCATTTTCAAGTAATTATTATTTATGTGTAAAGTTTTATAATTCGGAGCATTAAAATTACATGCAGTTCTTTTTTTGTTAAATAGGTTTGTTAATTGCACACTAAGTGTTCCATATTTGTCTGCAAATACTTTTTGTTGTATGTTTTCACATTTTTCTTATATATATATTCAAAATCAGATATATAAAATTTCTTCATTATAAAGTGGTCTAACTTTTTAGGTATATTTATGTTTCAATAAAATACAATCGACATGAAATTTAAATATATATTAAAATTTAATTTGATTCCCCCACGTATTAACCCCGGATCCATCACATAGAAATGATGTGACTGACGACTGATGTGACGTCCGAAAAGTGATATGTTGTGATACCACAGACGTAAGGTCTACCTGTTTGAGGAAATACATACTCCAACTCCAGATCGTAAAATCAGTTCGTCGCGTTAATGAAACAGACAACATCTTTAATGGTATATATGGGTAATTTTGGACAGACATTTAAGGAAGGTAGACCGATGAGCATATATACATCTTCTAGGAACTGTCATAAAGAGACATACAGGTTAATAAGATTTTGATCTTCATCTTCTGAAAATATCGAAAAACGAAAATCGATCTAATTAATTAGTTACTTGTTACAACTAGTCTGACGTATATACCAGCAAGTATGTGATCTTTCGAAACTAAACTGCACTTACAACCAGTTTCATTGAGATAAAAGAGAAAGCTGCATATATGAAATTTGATGTCTATATAATGTCCTCGATAAATTATTTAAAATTAAGGTTTGACATCATATTATTATTACATGTATATATGTGTGAGAAGTTTACATATATATCACATATTCATTATATATATTTATATATATTAGTAGGGATGAATAGGACTTATCTAACAATATAAAGTAATTACAGTCATATTCCTGACTGTTTCTGGAAATTCACAAAAACTGTTTTTCATAGGTTAAAGTGCAGAGAAGTATTTCAAATCTGCTAAAAAATATTTAAGATATTTCGCTGCAGGGATTATTCAAAAGAGTTAATATAGTCAAAATTAAACTAAAAACTTGCCCATTTCTGTCTTCGGAAAAAAACAAAACTCATGGAATATTGATTACTGGACACTCTCATCTGAATGGAATTTTGAACTTAGAACTGACAAATGTTTGTTTCTTCAAACATATTACCGAGGATATTTAAAAATACTGATAATTAAAAAGACAAATTTGTATTTTCTATAAAAATACCTTATGTAAATTTACAATAAATACGTGGTCTACTATATATGTAGTAAAATATATGTAAATAAAAGTACAATATAATGTATTAAAATATTTTTAATATTATATTTACATCTTTTATTTTCTACACTTTGAAACCTATAAGATAATTGTGATCAGAGCTAATATGTTTTATATTGCATGTATTTAATATCTGATATATGGTAGTAGCAGTAGTAATATATCTATGGTATCCTTTTCTTATTGTTCCCCAGTTTTAATTGTGTTGTTGT